TTTGATCCGCATCATAATTCGGTTCGTCATCCCATCACTTTGGCGCCACTTTTGACGCGTGCTGATTGGGATTGGAGTTATTGGGACTGGGACTGGGATTGGGATTGTGTAACCGTAAACCCCAAGCACCCCAGTTTTAGTGGGTGATACAATACAATGGTCTGTCTGGCACTGTCATCGCCGGCGGTATTTTTGAAATCGTTCACTTTCAGTTTAGTGGCAAAAGAAATCTGTGCTTAATATCGAGCAAGCTGGACCATAAATCATGGCTTTAAATACGCATGTTAGTGGTGCGGATAATTATGGTTCCCAGGCTCATCGGTTTGTCATGGGAGGGCCGTGATCAGATCGGATCTAAAATCTAAACTGATGAAACCCACGATGCAATGCCATTGGTCAGTTGCCCAACTGATTTTGACATTTGCAACGTTTCGGAGCGAAACGAAAGTGGCAGACAGTCAGGTCAGTTCATGATCCACTATCAGATAATCCGTAAAATCTCTGCCAAGCATTTCTCAACTGCCATCACAATTCTATTATTATCCGCTGTGCTGTCGACTGCCCAATCGCATTGACGGATGATGACCATTTCTCAGCTGCTTGTGGCTTCTTCAGGGTCGTTAAGATTAATAGATTTCTGTGGCTCAAGCCATTATGGCGAGCCTAACCACAGTCGGCTCACATATGGAACAATGTCTGGCGGCAGTTAAACTGTTTTTCGTGTGTTGTTTTTAACCCCTTTTTATTTTGTTATTGTATTAATGAGGCCTCGTTTGGAGCTCCACTCATTATTCAATAGCGTAATTTTTGTTTGTAATTAATTATCGAGCACTTCTGCTATTTACCCAGGCTCTTGACGTGGCCGGTGGCTGATTTTCAGTCCGGTTGCGGCCTGCTCATAGCTCATAAAAGCAAACTAATTCGACCTCAGGCATTAACTATTTCACGAATGTGCTGAAAATGCATAATTTTCGGCGGTCATAAAGGGTTAATATTTCGGTTTAGGAGGTGTTAATTTCTCGAACTAAGCGAAGCAACCAACCAATCTGTTTCAATGCCGGATTTGATGCATTTTTTCAAACTTGTATTTTGAGGTCACACACGAAATGGAATTCCAAAGTCTGGTTGCCTTGCCTCTCGCCACCCCTTCTCGCTCTCTCTCTCTCTCTCTCTCTCTCTCTATCCCTGTCTGCCTTTCAATGTGTCGGTCTCTTTTTGCTTTGCAAACACCTCTGTCGTGGGGGACCAACAAAACAAAGGAACAGCCACCATGCCATCCTCTCCAATCTCCAAACTGGCTAAGTAATTTATTTCCTTCCTAGTTTTTGTCGCTCAGAGCTATTAAAAGAGTTTTAGCGAAAATTGGCAAAACAGTTGCCACCTTTCAGCGCCTCTCCAATTGCTTCCCACAAATGTTGTCGCTCTGTAGCACGGAGACTGGCACCCCGCTGAAACTCCAATTACGAGCTGGAGAGCACTTTGAACTTTTCGCTGTGCCTGTGGTTGTGGTTATGGTTGTGGCTGTGGCTGTGGCAGTGCCGGTTGCTCGTCCACCCGCTGATCGAGCCCATAGCGTCTCCCGCAGCGACACCAATGCGTATACGTAACGTATTAATTATGCCACGGAAGGGCCAACTGCGACGACCGTTCGCAATAAAGATTCGCACATTAATTGCTTAAATTAATCACAGCCACCGCCAAATGAGCACAGGCGCACAGAATACATACTAGGTGGCATAATTACAAAAAAGAAAGTTGCGAAGAGAATTAACCCCACTTGTCCATTAGAATTAAAATGAAATCTTAACACGATACGGCAACAACGAAAAGACACGAAAGAAGCAACATGAGCTCAGTCAAACACTCTCCTACATACATATGTATGTATGTACTTTATATATTTATCTGCCCCGCGTTGTTGCATGTCAAAGGCAGCAACTGGTTTGTAATAGGAAATCCATTTTGTCTCGTTTGAACAACAAATGAACATGCAATTTGTGCATTAAGTGCCGACAGAAAAAGTGTCAAGTGTGACAGTTTCGAGGTAGTCAGTCACTCAGTCAGTCCCTTTCGCTTCCAGCCTCGCTCCCAGCGCCATTTTAAGTGATATGAGTTTCCGTTGTTTTAAATAATTTCTATGACAACTGGACTGTTCAAGTGTCTGGCACTTGATAACTACATTTATGATTTATGTTTGTATGAATGTATGTAGTGTATCCTCGCAGCAAATGAAAGTGTAAAGCTCACAATTGATCACAAACAAGGAAAATTACCATGTTTTGCATAATTAAGGTTTAAATTGGTTTCACATATTCTGAGTCTGCTAAAGCATTCGTCTTCTCCAACAACTTCTTTCAATGATATTATTGGACAGTCTAAGATGTATCCCACTTAATTCCTTATGGTTTTCAGATCATACATATTTCTGAGCGAAAAACACCTTAGGCAGTTACTTAAAGTCAGAAATTATATATATTTATTAGATATATAAAATATTCCCCAAGATATACATATAGGACTAATTAGAATGTATGTATGTGCATGGATCTATTTTAAATATACTATTCAAATGCATTAATGCTAGCGTTTTCATTTAACAACTAGTACCTTGATTCCCTATATGAAAGCTAAGAGAGCTGTAGTAATGAAATACATATGTACATACATACCTACATACATACATACGTACATAAATACATATGTATATACATATGTACAAAAGCCATATATAAGTACATGTGTACCGGTTTCTAACCACACTTCTAATAAAATTCTACAGCTGTTTTAGCGATTCTACATTATTAGAATTTCAGAATCTTAACATTATTTAAAAGATGTGTATACTGCATGGTTGGTACTTTGGTGTTCAAATTACCAGTAGATTGGCGAGATGTCGTTAACAGAAACGTTTAGATAGGTGCCTCCATGAGAGTTTCATCCCTGTGTAGTTGCCATGTAGACAAATTTGTAGTTCTTTGCAGTTGAGTACTCAGATAAACGGAAAATATACAAGAAAACCAACCGATTAAATCCCTTCATATCAAAGTGAAAAAAGAATATTTCTATCTTCTGTCGACAGAAACACATGTGCAAACACACACATACTCAAAAAATGTATAATTTATAATCATTAATTCTAATATTTCAATATTATTCTCGGTACTCATTTAACCAATTTATTAGCAGATAAAACACATGTTTAATGCATTTCAGTCAACATTTTGGGCATCTGAGTACTAGGCTTTAAACTAAATTGGGAAGCCAATAAAAATAAGTCATTAAAACTAGCCAATCTGTGAAGAATTGATTGATAAGTCGGATAAAATTATAGTTTTAGCGCGGAGACTCCTAACTAGCTAGTTTTATCAAATAGAACATCAAATTCGAGGAAATGGGTGAAGAATACGTTTTATGTAAGTGTGAACGTATATTATATTTGGTATATCTCTGTGGGATTTCGGTGCTCATATTGAAACCAAAAAATGTGGAGAGATAAGAGAGGATCTTGCTGACCTAATCCTCTCTTTGGCATGTGATGGCAAGGTATGGCAAGCAGGTAAAAAAGGTCGAGCTTTTGTAAGGCTCCCACCTTTTTCGCACCGGTTGAAAGGATCCCTAATGGTGCAATGGATCCCTGACCGTTTAGGCACAGGAGAGGATTTCCCTGGAGAATTTCCATCACTGAAATTTTTGTGACGTATTTACCTGTTGTCAACACCTTAGTTTTTGATACAAATTTCGCAGCATAAAAGCTCACTTGCTTTGTTAAGGGAATTTGAAAGGTATCTTCCTTTGCTAATGAACAACTAAATATAAAATAAAATATATATTAATATTTGACTATACATTTGTACACTGATATGGTATTTATTTATTTATGTATTTTCAATTAAGAATTAACTGCCAATTATGGACAGCGGTACGAATCAATGTAATATGCGTGTACTTGAGCGGCAGCGCCGCGGCAGAGCCTTGTCCTATGCAAGATAGATAATAAATAATATTTTTTTTTGAGGTTTTAAGTTACCGCTCTACCCTTGGGTAGAGGGGAATTATTTGGCCGCCCGCCTTTACAAGGGGGAAATCGCCACGTCGAAATATGTAACTTGTTACAGTTTTGCTCAAATACTTACCTGCCGTAGAGGTTATGTTCCCCACGTGCTGTCTCGTCACAGATCGCGGCAATACTTATAATAAATAATAGATGGAGGGAACTGTAAAATCTATCTGTCCCAAAAGCGACGGTGTAAAGAGGTCCACTAATTTTAGCCAATATCGGTATGGTGGTAATAGTCTGTCAGAGTCCCAGTTCAGATTTCTAAGGGCTAATATTTAAAATTGTTATTGAGCGGATTCAGAAAGTGTTACTTATTGTATTGAGGACTACACACACAAGAACAATACTCCAATATCGGGCGGATATATCGGAGTTTAGCATCAATTATGTTGTGAAGATAGAAGAACTGCCACCCAAAGCACTACGAGCACACTATAATATTTACATAATTGCTTGTTCCCTCTCCCTTTCAGAAAAACAATAGAATTTCTTTATCGCTTTTGTTGTGCGCGCAATTTTTCACATTTTTCAATATTATCAGTTAATATACATGTTTTTTTTAATAATTTACATAAATTTACATACTGAAGACAAAGCTCCCGTGCTTCCAGAGAGAGTGATTTGAATAGAAAATTCAAATACAAATTCGTAAAATACAAGGTCATAAGGTATATAATCCAATAAAAAAGAAAATGTGTAATAAACAAAATTGATTTTTCAATTGAATTAAATTATTTGTTCAGTAGTGAATGAATTTGCAAGCTAGTAATATCAAATAGAACATCAAAGTCGAGGAATATGATTCAATTTACGGTATATTTACGGTATATTTTGAAAATGCAAAAGTATATTTCGGTAAATTTTCGAGGCCCCGACGGTATATTTCATCGATAAATCCGCGGTCACACTGAAGCAACAGTTTTACAATAAATAATAATAATATAATTATGTTTATATGGCCGGAGAGACGTCGGGGGTCGGTCGCGCTTAGAATTAATATTTCCATTTAGTCTAGTTTAAGTCACTGAAGCGGGTGGGCGGCGCTATTCAATCAGCGCTGGTGCCAGAAACGAGTAAAAACTGGAATTCATATTCGCATTCGCGCATAGCCATTCAGAGCTAGTGAAAAAAAAAGAAAAAACATATGCATACCCAATGCCTGTGTGCCGTGTGTACGACTCGACTCCGTGACAAATGAAGCTACTAGTGTAGGAGAGAAAAATTAGCCAGAGACGAGGAAGACGTAATCCACAGCCACGTCTGCGTCTGTGGCGTTGCAATTGAAAGTGACCAGACCAGTGCTACCTCAACCAGAAAGCAACACCCGCCAACCACCACAAAAGCAACCAGAATGCTGCCTCGGTTTCGTTCCTTCTATGGCAAACTAATCATATTCATATTGGTTGCCCTGTGCTTCATCCTGTACAGCAAGGTGCAGCAGCCAAGCGGCGATGAAGGGCCTCCTGCTCGAGCAGCCGCCCTCAGGGGCCACGCTCGAGACAGATACAGTGCGTACGGCGAGAGCGAAAACGAAATCGCCCGACCCGCTACAGTGTCCCCCTATGAGCAAAGCATCCAGCTGGACCTAGAAAAACAGAAGGTGGGCCTTGGCGACCAGGGCGCGTCAGTGCACCTGTCTGGCAAGGCCAAGGAGCGCGGGGACGCCATCTACAAGAAGATCGCTCTAAACGAGGAACTGAGTGAGCAGTTATCCTACAACCGCAGCGTGGGCGACCACCGCAATCCCTTGTGTCTGGCTCAACACTTCGATGCCAGTACTCTGCCCAGTGCCAGCGTGATCGTAATTTTCTACAACGAACCTTACTCCGTACTGCTGCGGACCGTGCACAGCACTCTAATAACGTGCACTGAGCAGGCCTTGAAGGAAATCATCCTTGTGGACGATGGCAGTGACAATCCCGAACTGGGGGGAAAGCTGGACTACTACATTCGCACGCGCACTCCCCCCGGCAAGGTGACGGTGCTGCGCCTAAAGAATCGGTGAGTGGCGTATCTGAGCGGAGCGGAGAAAGGCCGTGAATCCATTTTTGAAATTGTCTTTTGGCTAGGAAAGTTCGGGCATTCAGCTATCGAATCGCCCGTGGCTTGCCATCATTTGAATAACTAGTTTGTGGCCCATTGCCGTGTCAGACTCACTGGGCTGAAGCATCTTCTTTGGAAGGCAGCATAATGTCAGAACCGACAAAAGCTCAAATAACACAAGACACAGAAAGAGAAGAAACGAAACGAAACGGCAACCGTAAAACCAGTTCGTCAAGTTACGAATATTTGAGTTTTTTTGGGCTTGACTTTTTGTAACTCTCCATCGGTATCTGCGTGCATTACACTGTCCCACAAGAGAGCTCGGGGTAGATGCCCCTGAGCTTTGTCTGCCCGAAGTTTGTCTTGGCCATGTTGGCGTGTGCTGGCATGCCGCTTGGCGAAGATTGGAAGGTTGCTCGATGACCCAATAAATGTTGTTCTTCTTTAGCTTAGCACAGTTCATAAAAATGCACATCGATTGGCTAAAGAAAGTTTTGGTATTTCCCGTTTAGATTGGGACTGATACGCGCCCGTTTGGCCGGAGCCAGAATTGCCACAGGAGATGTGCTCATCTTTCTCGATGCACACTGCGAGGGCAACGTGGGCTGGTGTGAGCCGCTGCTGCACCGGATCAAGGAGTCGCGCACGAGCGTCTTGGTACCCATCATCGATGTGATCGATGCCAATGACTTTCAGTACAGCACCAACGGCTACAAGTCCTTCCAAGTGGGCGGATTCCAGTGGAACGGTCACTTCGATTGGATTAATCTGCCAGAGCGGGAGAAGCAGCGACAACGACGGGAATGTAAACAGGAGCGGGAAATCTGCCCAGCCTACAGTCCGACCATGGCCGGCGGTCTGTTTGCCATGGATCGGCGTTACTTCTGGGAGGTGGGCAGCTATGACGAGCAAATGGACGGCTGGGGAGGTGAGAACCTGGAAATGTCGTTCAGGATCTGGCAGTGCGGCGGCACCATTGAGACGATTCCCTGCTCCCGAGTGGGACACATCTTCCGCGACTTCCATCCTTACAAGTAGGTCACAATATTTAGCCCCTGGCTTGTAAACAAATTTAATTTAATTCCATTGCAGATTCCCTAATGATCGTGACACGCACGGCATTAATACGGCCCGCATGGCCTTGGTGTGGATGGATGAGTTCATCAATATATTCTTTCTCAACCGGCCCGATCTCAAGTTCCATGCGGACATCGGGGATGTCACCCACCGAGTGATGCTTCGGAAGAAGCTGCGCTGCAAAAGCTTCGAGTGGTACCTGAAGAACATCTACCCGGAGAAGTTTGTGCCCAACGCAAAAGTTGTGGGTTGGGGCAAGGTAAAAGCTGTCAGTACCAACTTGTGCCTTGATGACTTGCTACAGAACAACGAGAAGCCCTACAACGTAGGCCTCTATCCATGCGGAAAGGTCCTGCAGAAGTCGCAGCTCTTCTCGTTGACCAACTCACAGGTGCTGCGAAACGAGCTCAGCTGCGCAACCGTCCAGCATAGCGACTCACCACCATACCGGGTGGTGATGGTGCCCTGCATGGAGAACGACGAATATAACGAGCAGTGGAAATTGGAGAACCAGCATCTGATACACAGCAACACGGCCATGTGCCTTGACCACAAGGGCCTCAAGACCGTGGACGATGCCCAAATGGCGCCATGCGACTCCAACAGCGAAACGCAACGTTGGACCATCGAACACTGAAGCGACACTGAGAAGACAGGGATTGCGATGGGGACGGGATGGAAGGGACCAAACCAACTGAGAGAAACTGACTAACGCTGACTGCGCAGCATATTAGTGCAACATCTTGTAAATACATAACCGAATTCTAGAATTACATATATATTTTCTATACGCTGTATACTCTGAACGTGTATACCAGCATTGACCATTGGGATCGGTAGCTAAAGCAAATCGAAACATCTTTAAACAAATCAAAACCAGCGGCGAATCAAACACAAACAAGTCAACTTAGAAAGCTAATAAGATGAATAACAATTACCTGTGTGTTGTGTATTTTGTGTGTATAAATATAATTAGAGCAAGTTGTAAAATATAACGTCGGTACATCCTACGAGTATGTACATAAATGCTTCACCGATAATTATAATCGCAATGTGATCACGTAACCATGAAAGCGATGCGATGCGATGCGATACATGAGCAAAGTGTGTAACAAATGCATTCCACGGATTTAAAGGGAACGGAACGGAAGGAAGAAGGGGAATCAACCGCTTTCATCGAAAGTCTACTCGAATAACCAACTATGTAAACTGTAAACTAAAAGTGTTATAAGCATTTATCTACTAATATACCTTTTTTGCCATTTGTTTTCATAAATAAAAAACTTCCAAGTGGAAGACACACATCTTTAACGTTTGACCTTGTTGCCGTAAGCACACAGGTCAAAGGGGTTGATTAGCTGGACTACATGGAAATGCAACCAGTTAATAGCACCAGAGGCCAGAGGTCCAACGAGTTCAAGGCTACCTGTGTGTTTCCCAAACATCAACAAGATGGGAACGGAATGGAACAGCTGTGACAGCATTAAGAAATAAAGTCAATTTGAATGCAAGATATTCATTGCATGTTTGTATATTTGTATTTATAAGTAGATATACATAAGTACATATTCATATTCTCGTATTTGTATTTTGTGTTTGTTTTATTTTTTGCTGAAATTGTTCAAATTTGCTGACTTCTCGTGTGTTTTTTTTTTAAATACTTAAATTGGAGTAAAACAATTGCAATTACAGAAAATGTATCGTATTTTTGTGGTTTTTTGCTGCTGCGGACTACTATTTACTTTTTTTTGTTCTTTTTTAACACACACTATTACACCTACTAGTGGAGAGTGTGAACTTAATGTTGATTATCCCATCCTTACATACAAAACGAACTAAACAAATGCATCATCAAAAAATGGGCTTTAGCCCCGTTCTTTCTTTGTGTAGTATGATAAAAGCAATTGTTAGAATATGCCTGAACTCTTTTCTCTTTTGTTTTGTTTTGATTTGTTTTGGTAATTAACTTTTTTGTTCAACTCTTGGTTAATTTATTTAACGGTTGATGGATTCGAGTGTTGATGGTTTCCAGCTACAATTCATAATAACATTTTATTCGTTGACAGTGCTAAAAGCTCTAAGAGTGCGCAAACTTACGAGTATCTATCTGTAACTTGTTTTCAAGGCTATCGTATTTCCCATATTATGTGTGTGTATAGGCATTCTGCTCTGTTCTGCTATGCAACTGTAAATCAATTAGCTCACCTAGTGGGGGCCGATTTTGAGGGGCCAAAAGCTGCACTGAATTGCACAAAAATATGATGAGTTCTTTAATAACTGCAAGGTACGATTCAATTTGTCAGAAAGGCCAATCGATCTCTGGGACCCCACTCCCGTCCTGCTAACCTATGGCTACGTTCTACTTTTCTATAAGTATGATAATCAAGCAAGCGCATCGAATGGCACTCTATACTATAGAACTACATACAATGTATCTCGATCTATTTTACACCTAAAGCCGAGTGTGCGTGCTGCTAATTTACCGACTCAGATTTACTTTCATATGAGGGATTTCATAACTCAATCAAGCTCTAGTTGAATGTTAATTACGCTTATTAAATGCCTTAATTTTCATTGATTTTGTCAGTATTAATGCCCCACTATGTACATATAATACATTCATGTGGCAAGTCATGTGGCTGGGTGCAACAATTAAACAATATGGAGAGTGCTCAACAGAATAAAACTGGGGCGTCTACAAAACGCACACACACATACACACGCACTCACACACACATGCGCATGCGCGCCCCTTTAAATCGGAATGTGCCACTACAGTGGCTGTAGTTTGGGAGCGGACGATTCGAAAGCGCATCCTCAAAAGCCTTTCAACTTTGGCTGGCCAAAGATTTAGTTTAGTTCGTACGTTAGGATTATCATTGGTAAATATATAATATAGTATCTATATATTTGTATTCATGAATATCCATGTAATTGTAAGTATATATTGGAGTTGTATCTTGAATTTTTAATTTTGGACGTATTTTCAAGTATATTTTTGGTAGTTGATTCTCTCATCTATACGCAAGTAGAAAACACAGTTTCGAAAATATATACCTAATGTATATGCATGCATTTATATAGTAAATATGTATGTATGCTTGTATATAATACTGGATGAATGGCTGTAGTTCTTCCAGTTGGATTTCAACATCTGATCTCAAGCATCTCGGTTTTCTGTTGGATTTTAGTATCAGTATGGTTTTGTTTTGTTTTTGCTTTCGTTTCATTTTCGCATTGGTTTCTAAGTGTAAATCGCTTGTTATTGTGTTTGAAATTGCAATTTATCTCAGACTCAGTTTGGAGTGTCTTGGATGTTGGTTGGTTGGTTGGTTGGATGGATGGATGGATACGTTTACGGTTTACTGCTTTTTCGTTCCGGTCCCGTTCAATGGGAGACCGGCCCACTCTTGAGTCGCTGATCCTTCGTCTGTACGAACAAGTATTACATAGATTATCTTAACATAAAATTGAATATTCAATTCAATTATTGCTTCACTTCATCTTGATTTCTTGGACAAACACAAGCTTCATTCTCAGTGTTCGGTGTTCAGTTAATGTTACTTAATAACGCTTCACAAACATAGTCGCACAACCTTCAACATTGATAAATATGTACCTACAGATGTACAACGAAAAGTTCCCAATACTTGGGATATTGCACATACCGGGATGAGGTAAGAACGTAAGAGGAAATCATAAAATAATGACGTACATATATGATAAAATCAATTTTATTCATATATATGTATGTATCCGTATATATGTATATGTATATGTATATAAAGAGTAAATTATAAATACATCACATCAAAATAATACAATTTACATATGTATTTACTGCGTCAGTGCGAGAAGCTTCTTAGTCGGCGACTAAGATCAAAGATGCGACCCATCTTACGATGTCTCACGATTGCAGCGACGCAGCATTATAGAATATGTCGCTTTAATTATTACTAACATTGTAATCTGGTAGTCTGTATATAAATGCGCTTAACAGAATGTGAGCTTGGGATGTAGGAAAAGAGAGTAAATCGAATATACGTCTACACAAGAAAATATTGCATGATCTTAAAGTTATAAATATATACAAATGATCTCATAAATTTGATATACATATATAGAGTTAATAACAATTAAAAATATAAGCTCATCATAAACCAAGTCACATCGACATAAAAACAATTGAACTAAACTAAAGGCAAAGGACCATTACAAAAATATGTATAGTATTTCAAACAATTCAATAATAATCATAATCAAACGCGCTCCATCGTAAAATCGGTGAGACGAGCAATAAACGACGACATAAACTTATCTGAATCTGAAGACATTGCACACTTTACATACATACATTACTCCAAAAAAATACGAGTACGCTACACATTTAGATTTTGCTCGTGCCCAAGTGCTCGTGGTATTGCAACAACTCGAACGCGAACGAAAACGAAGACGCCCTGCCAGGCTTAGTTTAGTTTAGCTACATAGATTAGTATTTAGTTCGTTCTTCTGTAGACACCGCCTTAAACTACTTAGATAAGCGCGGGGGTTAAGTGTACGGCATTTCATTTGCGGCGTGGTGAGAGAATAGTTAAGTAAGCTAGTAAATGGTTGGCATGTGGATTATGCTCCGCATTGTTCGTTGCTAGATGACCTTGTCATCAACTTCGTCATCGTCATTATCTGTCATCGGGTGTCATCATTGGTGGCAGCCTTAGAAGGCCGTCGAGCGTCGATTGGCATAGCACTTTTTGCCATGACTGTTCGCATCTGCAGCGCTGCTGGTTGCACGCAATCTGTGGCATGTCGCGGTCGCTGGCTGGCTGACAGCGCCTGTGACCAGTGTCGATTGCCTGCAATTAGTCCAACGCTGCAACTGATGCGAACACTTTGGGTACAATCATTTTCGCGCCGACACATTTAGCGAGTCGCCGCGGCTCTTGGAGCGTGTCATCGAGCTGCTCATTTCTAAACGGGGCGAAGGTGAACCATAAATTAAAAACTAATTTACTCCAATGTAATCCACCACTCACCTTTGCTGATGCTGTTGCTCTTCTCCGCAGCCTTGTAGGCCCGCATCGCCTTGCCGCGTTTGTCCTGCTGCAGCTTGTCAGGTCGCACAAACTTGCCGTACTTCGGCTTGCACTGGAAATACTGTATGCCCTCCATGGTGCCATCGTTTTTTCCTGTGGGCGTGTCCAGTTCCACGCCAACCCAGGCGCCTGCCTGAAAGTGTGTGGTACCCACATACCGTATGACGCCGCTGGCGTTGGACGGTCGAATCAACACCGATTCGCCCACCACAATCCAATCAGGCAGCGTCAGATGTACCATATCCTTTCCGTCGTCTGTAAAGGTACGTGCCCCGTGGCAAAATCAAGTGAGTTCTCAAGCTGTTGGCGTTTGAATGTCAATGCTTACCCTCGACTTCTGTGCTGCTGGACATAATGCTGGGGTCCATGTACGCTGCCAAGCCTTCCATTTTGGCCACTGAGGCACGCTGGTTAATGCGTGGCGTTTGGCTCGTACTGTTATTATTGTTGTTGTTGCTACTGGTCCCAATGTTGTTCGGTGGCTGCGTGTTGGACTTTTTGCGACGCATTACTTTGCCAGCAGGTAATTCTTCTCTGACGATGCCATCGCCCTCAATGCTCTGCTCTGAAAAATTGTGTGTAGCCTCGTTCAGCGATTGGTTGCCGTTCTGATTATCTGTAGAGAGCTCTGGTTCCTCTGCAGATTCGTGTCTCTGCTCTCGCTCCTCTTCCACTGCCTCGTGAAGTTCTTGATCGGATTTCTGTTGTGGCTGCTCTTTGACATTGGTATCGTTGTTGTTGTTGTTAATTTTACGTTTGGGAACCTGCTCGCACTCGTCGTTATCACTTTTGGCGGCTTCCTTCGATTCTGGCTGCTCCAATGGGTGTGTGAAAGCCTCCTGCAGCGTCTTTGCTTGGAGCTCTAGCTCGGCTGGCTCTTGAGTTTTGGCTTTTGGCATATCCTTGAGGAAGGGGTTGACTCGAGCTTGACGATTTGGTGGCGAATTAGAGTTGACACGATCAAAATCTGAAGAATAGATGAAGAAGATTTTTGAGATAATTTTTGGTTCATATTTGTTGGCCTTCTGTGTTTACCTGGAGTCTCGTCAATGCTCATGGAACGCATGGAAGTTATGTCCTCGTTGCTCAGATTGTTACAGGACACGGCCTGGGAGCCATAGCCACTGCTGGTGGACGAGCTCATGCTTAGCGTAGCCAGGCCGGTCAAGTGCTTCATATTCGCATTGGCGCTCGACGTGTAGCTCAAGTAGCTGTTGGTCGTCGAGTGGCTGCTGACATCCATGAACGAGTCCATGGTCTTCGAAGCCGTGAGGCGTGACCTTGTGGCCAGGCTCCTGTTCTGCTGGCGCTCCTGCTCATATTCTGCAGCATATTCCGAGTCGCTGTAGCTGTCCTCGGGCTCCTCGTCCAGCGAGCGATGTCCGCCCAGGGGCTCCTCATGCAACGTGGTCATGCGCATGCCCAGCAGCTTGCTGGTGGCCGGCGATGCTGTGGACACAAGAGATTCGACATCGATTAACACTCTTCAGGATTCTTTGCCATGATAGAAAAGTGGTAGACTTAGAGCTAGACAAACCACATACGTTTCGTTGGCGCAATTCTCAATGTGTTCAAGTTTAAATTGAGATTCAAAAACGTTGGACGCGCTGCATTCCATTGCATGGGGGCGGGGAAGATAATGGGTATGTTTAATGTTTAGTTACAATGCAATATACAGCCTTCAATGAATGATCACACTAGCTCCAGCTGCGACTAGCTCGCACCTCGAGGAACACTAACATAGATAATGATAGATCTAATTTCTAAGAGTAAGGCTACAGGTACGCGGTTCGTGCTCAAATATCGTGCAGTGTGTGCTGCGGCTGCTGTGTAACAGTTGGGCAGTTTGGCAGTGTGCTGTGTGCGCCAGATTGAGTGGGTTGGCTGGAATGGAATGACCAAGTGATTGATGCATCTACTACTGCTGATGATGACAATGTTCACGAATGCTTGAATGAGAGAGTCTTATGGGGGTTTAATGGAAGGACAGAATTACCAGCAAGCGAACACTAATACAAAACTACATTTCAACACTTGCTAAATATGGACAGGGATTCCCTCCTTCCCCTCTTGGACTGAAATAATAGGATAATGTCCATGAATGGGTATGAGGTGTTCGGTGGTTCTGTGGCGGTGTCTGTGTCTTAATGGATGGGCATGAAGACAGACAAACTTAAACTTAAACTCAACTCATCTAACAATCAATGAACATTAGTCAAGAATAAACTTTTTGATTTGATTTGGGCAAAATTACGGCCTTTACCTGACAGCAGAGATATAGAGCCTGTTGGCCGGTGAATTTCATTAACAATACGATAAACATTGGAGACACAGAAAAGAATTTGACAAAGTGAGAAACTATACGATAAATACAAGAAAATAGAAGCACTGTGGACTGGATTCTGGATGGATGGCTTTGGGTTCGGTTCGTGTACTCGTCGAATGCATGTCAATTTATATGATAAGCAATGAAATATGTGGCAGGACAGAACATAGTCGAGTGCGTCAATAAGAAGTATTGCTCGAATCTTCATATCGAGTTGATGCGATTGCTATAGATGTTGCTATTGCTGCTGCAGGTGTTGCATCCGAGCAAAGCAAACAAAGTAAATTCGGAAGTTGTGACAAAGCAATGCAATGCGAGAAATCACAGAATTAATAAATTGCTCTTGGGCAGGAACAAAGCATAAGCAAGCATAACAAAAACAGGTTCTATGCGTGTGCGGGTAGCACAGAAACATTCAGAAAAGGATTTATCTTGTTGCCATTGGGATCATTTAATTTGATTTGTACTAAAATACTAGTTCATGTCAAGTACTACTACAAGAAACGTAACAGAACATTATATACGGAGAAGGAGAACTAAGATTGTCAAAAATTACGAAGTATATAAGATTATATGTATGTACATATGTAGGTCAATCGAAGTTCAAACAAAGATAAATCCCTTGCTCTAGAGCACGCCTGCAACTAGGTCGCACGCTACCTTTGCATCAGCATATGCATATGCGGAATTTACTTATTGGATATGTAGTGGGTATATAGTAGTGGATATAAAATTCGATTATATGGATTAAAGTACGCTAAGATTGATTTTCGAAAAATTGCTCAAAGGGTGGCATTATGGTGTGGTAGTCGGTCGATTCAAACAAATCATTTTCTTGCAGGGAATACCTACCAATGCCGAAGGCTTTTCCAGGAGAATCGTCGCTGCTGCCCTTACCACCGAAGCTGTGTCGGTTGCGGATGACTCCGTTGGCGGCTCCGCCGCCTCCTCCTCCACTGTGAACTGTAGATGAGAGAATTTGATTAATTTCACATGATCGAGTGTCCTATGCCTGAGCTCACCTGGCGTAAACTTATTGCCCAGGGCACTGTTGTTGAGATCGGCAAAAGACTCGGATCGTCCCACATTTAGCAGAGACTCCATCGATGCATCAAAGCGCATGATCTGCGTGAGTTTATTCATGAGTTTCTTGCATCATACATTTCATATGCAAAAGTTGTTTTGTTTTTTTTTTACAACAAATGTTATTTAGGATGATGATACAAAATTTATTAAAACAAAAAAGAAACCAAAATGAAAATGAAAATAAAAATAAAAAACGAACACAAAAACACACATTACAAAAATGGCAAACTGAAGAGCGCAGAGAAAGAGTTTTTGAACCACTTGAAAGATTCGAAATTTCAACAGAACAGAGGAACAGAAGAACAGAAAGCAACAGCTACAAAAAGCACAGTTACGGTAGTGAGTGCTCGGGATGGCACAGGATAGAGGCATAAAGTGGGGTGGAAAAAGAGGATACAAGTTACTTACACTCCCATTAGTGGTGTCTTTGACCGCCTACGTGCGCAGTGGGAAGCGTTTGGGCAAAACACACATACACGGCACACACATATAGGCAGAAATAATACCAATGCACACGCACATGCACACATATATCAGAAAAAAGTGCGCGCCGAATTTGAATTTGGTTTTTTGTTTTTTTGTTATTGGTGGTTAATCATAATTATTATTATTTTTTTTTTTGTTAGTTTGGTGAAAGCGCATAGAAGAATGTGAAAAGAGAAAGAATTTGTGTTTTAGTCAAATGTTTTTGGTTAATTTAGCACGTGGCAAGTGTGGCGAGTGAGTGAGTGTAAGTGGAAGTGGATGTGGAAGTGGTGGTGTCAGTGGGAGCATAAGGCGGCAGGAACGGCAGCGACGACATGAGTAAGCAGCGCATCAGAAGCCGTAGCAGCTGAATGGGATGATGAGCGGTATGCGGGCATGTCCTTACCTGCGAAAAGTTCGGCACACTGACGGTCTTGCGCATGGACAGCGGCTGGCCATGGGCTGTCTCCAGTTCCTTGACGGCCACATTCTGCCGCAGCCGATCCAGGGTCAGGATGCTCTCTACTGCCGAAACGCCCCGCGTGTATTTTTCTGCAAGACGGGAGGAGAGGTTAGGAGAGGAGGTTACGACTGGGTAATATTGATTAATCTCACCTATGTAGGTCTCGCCATCGCTGGCCGAGCAATCATCTCCGCTGGCCGCTAGCTGTGCTAGCGACTCGCGGTCCTCAAGCTCTTCGGAGGCCTTCGGAATGTTGGAGACCACCTCGTAGGTAACGCCACTCTGCCAAATGGCGTTCTCACCCCGCACAAGTCGAAACTTCTTGAGACGATCTGTCAGCGTCTGTCCTTTCTTGATGTTGATGCTGAGGCGCTTCCGCAGCACCAGATCCATGGGGGCCGGATGCGAGAGACGCACTGTGGTGCGCAGAATGAGATAGACACGTTCGTTGGCCTCGGTGACGCGATTGAGGGCTTGGCTATCGTGCATGGACGAGTCCCAGCTGGCCACACAGCACACATCCTTATCCAGATGCTGCAGGATCTGCAGCGTGTAGAATTTATGGCCATGCTCCTTGGAGAGAATTGAATTGATTCCCGCAATGGAGAGTTCGTCATTTGTATTCTGGGCAGACAAATCGTCGCCATTCAGGTTTAGAAAGAGAACGGGCACATGTGGCTCCATGCCAGAAGGTGGCTCCCAGGAGGCAGGGGCACCAGGTATGCCCGAGCCGGGTGCCGGCACCAGCACTGCGTTGCGTTCCTCCGTCAAGGAGACCCACTGATGCACCAAGCTCAGCTCTCGCTCCCGCTCCTGCTCATTCTTCTCCTCCTTCTTGATCAGCATCTGGATCTGCTGGTCCAGGTACTGGCGGCGGCGTCCCAGCGCCTCGCTCCACTTCTCACGCAAGACTGTGAGATCTTCCTCCTGATACGAGTCAAGTGGCCGCTGCAGCCGCGATCGAACCGTCACGCTGCCAATAGCCACGTTCACAATCGACTGGCAGATTATGGGCAGCGTGCCCGAGTTCTGGACGGGCTTCACGCGCACATTGACCCGCCGCTGCTGACCTTGGCGCAGCTGGTAGATGCCACCGGTCAGAACCTCGTTGCGATTGGTCACCTCAACGGGCGAGTACTCGCCGCTGTCGTTCAGCTCGTGGATCTCCACCCACAACTCGATTTTACGCGACAGCTCCGCCCAGCGATCGACCAAGGAACGGGCCTTGGCCTGCTGCTGCTCAACCTCCCAGCCCTTGGTCCTTGAGAAGCCGGCACTGCGATGCCCCCAGACCTCAATAGACAAGGCTCCCTCGATGCAGTGCTCGAGGAACTCCTCGTTGATGGTGACCGTGAAGTCCTTGGTGTGCTCGAATCTGAATACCATATTCTGATCGTGGGCCGTGGTCTCGGCATTGATCACGGGCACCACCATCTCCTGGTGGCCCCAGAACGTGTACTGGCAGAACACAAAGTTGGAGAGCGACAGGGGCAAGCCCGTGGCGCATTTGATGGTGACGCGACACGTGATCTGGTTGGCGGAGGGATCGACAGGGTCATCGTACTCGTCGCGTGAGTTCTCCGAGGACTCCGAAACTGATTCGCACATGCGATCCTGTGGCATCTGGCCGGCTATGCGCTCCACCTCCACCTGTAGGCGACCAGCCACCTCTCCCTGTTGGCTGATGATGGGCGTGTGGTAGTCTAGCTTGACATCGTGGAAGAGCACCTCCAGGAATATGTTGGCCACGCCAATGAGATTGTGGTTCTCCTGCGACTCGTAGAACGGATCCTGCGGCTTGGCATTGTCGTCATCCTACAAAAGGAAGAGCAAAAAATCATTCGATTTCGTGTCGCAATTACACAATTTCACTGCCAAATAGTTTTTAGAACGGTGTGTATGTGTGGGCTTAGGTGTGGTTTAGGGGGTGTGGGGGTCTCGTATCTTAATTACCTTGTCGTCGTATTCATCGTCTGAGAATTGCTCTACAAGGGGCTGTATTCAGGGGTTAATTGAATGCGTGTGTGAATCGATACAATTATAAATGGTAAATGGTTAGTACAGAGCACACAGAGCGGGAGATGAATGGAGAGTAGAGCGAATTCAACATACCAATCCGTTGAGCACGCGCTCCTTGTGCTCCTGGTACATCTCCCGCATGTCGATCAGTTTATTCTCCAGCTTCTCCATCGTCCATATCTGGCTACCGGAATTTGTGCGCTTTACCAGAATCGCGGGTTCGCTAACAAAGGCCCCCCGCCTCCTGTTGGGACTCAGGTTGGCCGGCGGTATTTGCAGGGTTACCGAGAACTTTGTCTTCTTCTCCATTTCCTCTGCCAGGAAGTTTGCCTCCTGCACCAGGGAATTGGCTCGCATGATGTCTGTTTTCAGCTGCCCAAGCGAACGTCGGAACATTTCATCTCGCTCCTAAAAGATAATAATTCAGCATCATTATCATTTATCAGCTAAAGAGCCAGCTAAGCCAAAGCACTGAGCTTACCTGTGCCCACTTCTCGACACGCATCTGGGAGGTCGGCGTATTCGGGGTTATCTTGCCCATGCGCAGCGGATCGTAGGGGGCATATGGAGCATAGGGTGTGCTGGGCGACAGAATGTTACGCAGTTGCTGGAACTGACGCTCGTACTCCTGCCGCTGCTTCTCGAGCGCCACCTGCTTATCTTCCTCATGCTGGCGCTCCAGCCGAGCAATGGCCGTCTGGATGGGGTCGTTGCTCAGCTCGTTCTGCATAATCTCATCTCGCGCAAAGTTGTAGTCGATCAGCTGGGCCGGCGTCTGTGGTTCCGAGGCGCACATGCTCGTGTTGTTGCTTTTTGGCGAGTTGACGCGGAAGAAATGATGATTTCCCCACAGGATGCGATCGCCGTTCTGCAGCGGAGTCTTTTCCACGGCCGCCGATCCGTTGACAAAGCAACGTGCTCCCTGTACGGGCTCCATATACAGCCCGCTGTCCTCAATTGTGATTACACAGTGCTCCGGTTGAATCCCCAGCCCCGAGAGTTGTATATCGGGCTGCTGTCCGCTTATGCTGCGACCGCCAATCAGCGTCCGTTCCTGAGCACAAAGAAATTATCGGTTAGACCAGTTCTACACAGCGCTTCAGCACATTTTATTTACCTTTAGGTAGTAAACCAGAAGCTCATTGAGGGACGGATCTGCATTCAAATTGACCAAGTAGTACTTATTCTTCTCCACCTTGATGCCGCTGGCCTGCACACTAATGCCCATTTTCTCCAGGGCCTGCTGTCGCTCGTTCTGGATGCGCTCCGTTTTGACCAGTTTCTCCTCCCAGGTCTGGGAGATCTGCTTCATTAAATTTTCGCTCTCGGCAAGCTTATCCTGCACATCGCCCACTGGCGATCCCGTGGCGTGCTTCAGCATGCTCCTCAGCGTCTCCACCTCGTGTCGCAGCTCCCGAATAATCCTGGCATTGGGATCTTCATTGACCACGGCGTGGTTGACGATGCGTTTGGCCCGATCCGCATAGCGCAGCGTGGACAGCGTCTCCTCGTAGTTGTCCGCCGACGGCGAGATTGTGGCCACCATTACGGTCCTGGAGTTGCCGCCCAGATTGTCCTTCAGCAGCCAGGTGAGCACAGAGTCCCGATAGGGCACAAACTTGTCGTTTCCACTCCTCTTGCCGTTTGTCTGATCGGCCAGCTTGGAGATGACCAGGCCAAGCGTGGTCAGAGATCTACAATAGGCATAAATAAAATAATAAGTGCATAAGCCAAGCTTTTTGACTCAATTTCACCCACTTGTTGATGTTGGAACCCTCCTTGAGACGATCGCCGACAGCTCCCGTCTTCACGGCACGCTCGGAGCCAGCCAAGTCTACGAGGGACATCCGAGAGACCTTCTCCCCGCTGACGCCCGTTGCCTGATCCGTGAGTATTTGGGTGAGCACTACCGAGAAGACGGCATGGGAACGCGAAGACTCGGCATTCATGTTGGTGGCCGCCACCGTCCGGGACTTGTTGCCCTCGGTCATGAGGTTGTCGATGTCCTGGTAGGATGCCACGGCCAGCTGCGACAACCCATCGACATAGGGACCCATCACGTTGTGCTCGCGCACCTTTAGCGACTGCTTGTTTGGTTTAGGGTCGAGCAGATCGTGGACCTTCTCGTTGTAGATCTCCATGTAGGAGACCTCCACTTTGTACATCAGCTCGGGCGTCGACTTGTTCGCAATGGCCGAGAAGAGCTTATCACACAGGCGCGGTATAATGCCCTTGTTCTCCTGAGAGCCCATCATCGTATAGGACTTGCCGGACCCTGCAAGAATAACCAATTAATGAGTCATACTCATGGCCCTGGAATGGCCATGGAAGCTGACAGTCTGCCCATACCTGTCTGACCATAAGCGAATATGCACGCATTGTAGCCCTGGAATGCATTGTCCAGTATGTCACGTCCCACGCAATCGAACACCGTCTCCTGGGACGCGAAGTTGTCATCCTCCGGGTTCAACGAGTAGAAGCAGTGATCGAATGCAAATGTCTTTGGTTGTTTTCTGTTTGTGCAGAACAAAAGCTCATTAGTTACACTAAGATATACCCTTTAGACATACTCTACTTTTGAATGCGACAATACGAACGAACATCTTAATCGTAATATATTGTTACTACATATTATTAATTATACCCCATACATATTAATTATATAAATATAATATATAATTATACATAATTTAAAATACAGTTAACGTGTAGTCTTGTTAAATTGAACTGAATTTTATCGAGTAGTGATCATCAATAAGGAATGTAGAATATAGAATATTTTACCTTTCGATTTTCTCCAATGGTGGTGGATTCTGCAATATGGTCTGTTGTTTTTCCATTTCCACGATACATTTTGTACCCAGTTCGATTTCTGCAAGTAGAGCAAACACTTTCAATGAATCTGGTTCCGGGATTCATACGTACATACTACTGTTATACATATGTTGAAGTACATATTTACATATATTGTGTAAAATTGAGATAATACCGCCATTATTCCTTTCTCTCTCTTTCTCTCCGTGGGGTGATAACAAGTTCAAAATGGCAAAACAATTTAATTTTATATTTTCACTGTACATATGTATGTATATGTATATAATATATAGTGCACACATTTCTCTGCGAATACGAATAATATATATCATGTTGGGGTTTCGTAAATAAGTGCGAAACTAGATTCACTAAAAAGAGGCACCAGAGAGAGAGAGAGGCGATAAATGAGTGTGGAATACGTCCAATGCCACACACAACAAAAACTCACTGGAGGAGAACAGAACCTTTCAAATGATTGTAAACAAAAGTCGAATAAAAAGGCAGAAAAACAGTTGCCCAAGCACTCGGCGTAATAAATATTGCAGCAACAATAAAACCACGATTTGATAAGATATTCCCTAAGACGAACCGTGGCTGCCCTTGACAGCTTCGTCCAATGAATTAATCCAGCACGAAATATGGGAATAGATGAGAATAAACAGAAAAAAAACAAGTTGAAATAATTTCTAAAAGGATTTTCCATTTTAAAAAAATTCTCATTCCAGCTAACGAACTGTTGAAATATTTCAGCTGTGATGCCGCTTGTCCTTCGCATGCTTCTTCCAGTCATTACTATTTGAAATGGCAGAGAGCAAATGCCAAAACAAACAGCAAACAGCAAAACAGGCAAAAGGAAACATAACGTACCGTCAAAGCCCTTCCCTGCCCAGACAGGCAAGACACATTTCTAGCCCACACACATCTGGTGTACATATATTTACATACACATACACATGGATATGTCTATATATATTTATATTTACTCGTATTGTATATATTTAGATGCATGTGTACACATGTACGTCCTGGTGTGGCCTGGCCTTTGGTACTTCCGTTCCGGTTTACATTACAAAACGACACTGAGCCAAGAACGTGACAAGACATGGAAATGAGAGCCACAAAGGACTCAACTCTGTTAGTATTACATATATACCATACATATGTCTGTACATTAATATGGAATATCTCAGCAATTGGGTTGACATTTGCCCGGTAACAAACGTAGCGGAGGCGGGTCATAAATTATTTAATGATCTCTCATTTGTACGACTATGCGTAGTTCTGGTCAGTTGATTTTTGGTTACTGGTTGTCTGCCTACCTTTCTATAACCTTAAAGCAGTCTCGATAATGATAAAGTTTTCTCTTGCCGTTGACCGTTGTCTGCTATTGTATTGTCCATCCGATGTTGAAATTAACATCCAAACATCCAAATACACACACACACACACACACACACACTCAAATACATAGCCATTGGCACGGTTGAAAACAGGTTAAGCTTTTTGGTAGTAACTCTCTGCTCTGGTCAGAGCTGTGACTTCATTTTGACTCGTTTGACTCAGTCTTTGCCATTCGCTTTGATTGTGTGTGTGTGTGTGTGTTGGTGTCTTTGCGTTTGCATTCATTTTACGCTATGCTGGCCCCTGATGGAGGAGGGGTCACTAGCTTCGGACATCGCCCAATTGCGATGCCAAAGATTGACTAATTTTGTACTTCATGTGGAACAGTCCTACCCAGTTCACCACCAGTCACACATTTATCAGCCATGATAACATTTCTGCACTGCTTATCACAGACACTCTGGTGACTACGATTCCCGTATACAGATACATTTACAGTCACACAGCGACACCTAATCAACCCGAATAACAAGCGAGCGCCATGACAGGGTAACGGAGGAAAACTTACTATGAAATTAATATAAAAAAAACATAATCAACGTGCCACCATTCAAGCACTTTGGCATCGAATCAATAAGTTCCTCCCATTCCTACGAGAATCCAATCGAACCTTGTCCTACACATACATATGTATTTCTGCTTCTGCCTGTGCCGGGGTCCGTCCCTGTTCCACAGTGCCCCTACTCGCAAAAGTGTCTTCCTTCATTTCCACTTACGCCTCGTGTGAGTGGATAAGCCAAATGAATGATCAGCGTTGACATTGGAAATGCTGACTGACACTGTTGTTGCTGTGGCTTGTTTTTGCACTTGCAACACTTCACCGCTGTAAGGGAAGACACACAAAATTAGCTGGAAACGAAACGAAAATCGCTGCAGTGCAGCGAGCGCCTCTCTGGTAAAAAAAAAAACAAAATTTGCTGTCGCTGCAGTGGAAGAGAAACGCAAAACGAAACCCGAATTCAAAGGAAACGCCAAAGAGCCATGTAAATTATCTTAGCCTAAAAAACCGCCCCTGGCTGCTGGCTGCCTGTTTGCATTATTGATTTAGAGAAGAGAGGAGCATTGACTGCGGCAGTGTATCTGCATTCCCTCCGTCAGTACATGGGACATTGTTCGTTAAGGAGCAGCCCTGGGGGGATAGGGGAAATTGTTGTACAGCTGCTCCCCGCAGAGCTAATCACAGATGGGAAGATTATCACCAAGGGAAAATGACTTACCGCGGCGATTGAAGGGTCGCACCCTTACAGCAACTTTGATCTTATCACTTGACATCGTGAAGGCTTCGAAGCTGGTGATGGATGTGGATGTTGATGCGGGCGAGGGGGTGATTCATGCACCACTCACTCTCACTTGGCCCCGTTCGACGCCAAAGGGGACTATACGGACGGCAAAGTTGGGTCTCCTTTATTATGGATATTTTTGGCTGGATGGTTGTCCTCGGGGGAGTCGTGCGCACGCAATCTATAAGGCAGGTGGAAGTTGTAAGGTTCTAAGCTGACTGGGCTGAGGTAAGGGAGCAGAGAGCGCCAAAATTGTGTGAGCGATTCAATTAGCGTCGCGCAGCGGACCCACATCCAACCATACGTCATGCGGGGGGTGGAGTGTGCCTGGGAGGAGTCATATTTCCCTTTCATTCTTGACTTTTGTCATTGCTTTGTTGTTACTGCGCACAGACACATTCTCACGGCACACATGCGTTCACTGTTGTGTGCTAGAATTCTTTATTTGCGCGACACGACGCGACGCGACACACACATTTAAATGTTTGCCCAAAATTAGTTAATTAAGATTATAATTCGAATGTCCTGTCCGATTTGTAGGGGCGTTTGTTTCTTCGCAAACAAATGAGTGCACACTCAAATACAATAATCTTTTCGCACATGCACACACACTCTCACTCACACAATTACAGGTGCATAGCGCACACAGTGCACAGGTTGGAATAGACTGCACCCCACCCTCCTTCTCTGAAAATGGGTAGATGTATTTAGTTTTTCGAGGCCTCTTTAAATTGGCGACCCGTAGTCAAAAGTAACGCCAGGTATCATTCCAGGGTACACCACCCGCGCGAAAAATGTTGCCCGTATGACTGTTCTGGGTGCTGGACTACTTTGAAGAATCGATTTTTATGGCTTTCTTTTTCCGAAGCTACAGCTTCCTTGGCACTGCGCCGTTCGTTGTGTAAGTTTTGACTATTGCTTAAGTGGCTTTCGCACCTGTAATCCGATGTAGTTGCGTTTAATTTCACTTTAATTTGTTTTTTTTATTTTGCGTTTTCATTTTTCGCGTCTTGTCGTTTGTCGTTTTTAGCAGTGTGACTGACCCTCAAAAATATACCAATATATACCTTCCCATTTAAAAAAATACCGCAATATACCGATGAGAAACGAAGTTAACCCATTTAGCCCCGCTCTATTTAAACAGCTACACATAGTGCACATTCATCAGGACAACTTGATCATCGATCCATGATCCATTTCTTGAGATCGTCCTGGTGAACGCACTTGATCAGCGTTTTTGATGAAAGACTTCGTGGATCGGATTTAGTGAAATGGATACTGAAAAAAGTAAGATCCCTCGAAGAACTCGTGCCCGATCCGTTGCTTTTGGCTCATATCGATAACTGATATATCGACAATAGCGCGCAGAAGAAGAAGAACATAACCGAATACAAATGTTTTAAAAATCATTTTTATGGAAGAAAGGTTACAATTTGATATGACTACCAACGCAGAGTAATTCTACACTGGCGGTGGCGGACGGAGATGATGTTCGTGCCAATATCCTTAGTTTCTGAGCCGGACGCGTTCACCAGGACCACTAACCATACAGTTTAACCATACCAATTTTAGCTCGTCTCTCTATATCTCCATAAACATATATATTAAAAATATGTATGTATGTTTGTACATTTGAAATTATATTTAATTGTATCACCTATTTATGGCTGTTACATACTTTTTTATAACAATATTATTGCGTTATTGAAAACGCGTTGGCGATAACTACGCAAACACATACACAGGCATATACTTAATATGTAAATAGGTTGTTTGGAGCAGCAGAAAATACATAGTTATTAAAATCAGCTCGTTGGTTACACCCGCCTCAGAATCTGGCCCCTTTTTGGGTATTGGGGGATTTGGAAAAAGAAGTGTTCGTTGTATAGATTTTCAAATGCTATAAAATTGCTACGTTACCTATCAAAACGTTTTCATCAAAATTTCGAGCCATTCTGGGACTGCTGGGCTCTTGTGGAGACGCTGCGCTTGTTAACTGCACAACGGCCGGTGTTTGGGGCGGCGGCGTTGCAGCGGGATCGGCAGTACGATTGACGTATTCGATCACTTCCTCAATTTCGTAGCCAATTAGTGCTACTTTTAAACTGCAAATATAGAATTAGTTCCTTAATAGAACACACAAAACCAAATTAATAAATTACTTACCGTTTGGCCATTTTCACTTTCAACCGTGGTCATACATGCATACGTACTTATGCATGTGTGTTTTCACCACGGCATCTCTAATCTTGTCTCTATCCCTTTCTAGAGCTTGTCTTTTTGTGCGTGGTGAATAAGTGGTCATCAACATCAAGATAGCTTAAACAATACCCAATATGCCAGACGCGAGTACCCTAATGCATTTCCTATTAAATGTTATACGTACATTTACATACGTACATATGAATGTTGCGTATCGAATATATTATATAATACAACATTCATATCAAGGATATACTTAATAAGGGGGTTCTAGTATTGAAGGCAAACGTCTTCCGAAAGTGCATAGACCATAATGTTTCGACAGCACTTGTAATAAAACCTGCAAAGCAGATCTAGAAGTTGTGTTCAATGAAATAGTAGTAGTAGTTCCGATTTGAACAAGTAATACCTGTTTAAAAAGCCATTATAAGGCAAATGATGGAGGTCGTACACGACGGGATATCTCTGCGCGGCGTACATCATTGCCTCCTGGTTTGCAAAGCAGCCATCGGCGACAACGGCAATCAAGTTGGGATCCACGTTACAGATCTCCAGCATATTTAGCACCTTCTTCAGGGCGACGAGGATCTCCATGCTTCCTAACTGCTGGACTCTCAGCGATGCTACAGTCAGATGGACGGTACGGTAGTGGGTGCCATCAGTACGGCCAACGCCTTCCACACACTGTGCTGATCCGCTCTGCCAATTGGTACTCGTCAATGACCAAGAAAAAGGGCTGCCTGTAGTCCTCTAGGTCCCCAAATCGTTTGATTTTGCCTTGCGCTAATTGCTGTTTTGCGACGTCCGCCTAACATGCTTGCAAGTCCGGTTGATGTCCCTTTCTCGTCCTCGGAAAATGTCCAGATCTAGGAAGATAGTCCGCAGTGTCCTTAGATCCATGTGGCTATTCGAAAACTGAATGCTGAACCCTATTCTAGTCCACTACATACAGACAAGACAACAGCTTGACAACAAATATCAATGTATGGGTGGGTATGGAGTACGCGTTGCATAGATCAATTCTGTGGCATTGTTTGGCTCAGGCGCTGGCAAAGAAGCGCACAATTTGGTTAAAAACAAAAGTTAACGGTTGCGCTCATCGCTGCCCTTTTCTTAGTCCCAGTCTAAAATATTGATCCAACGCTCACTCGTTACTCTAATCTAGCTCTAAATTATTGTAAAGTTTAACGCAGCGCCCCTTTAAATTGTACAAAAACGTCGAATAATAAACGAAAATAATAAAAACTAAATACGGAGAATAATTATCGTAAATGTGGAGTCAGAGTTGTCGGCAGCTTCCAACATAGGTGCTGCCAAGCTTCGGTCAGAAAAAGAGCCATTTCGAACTTTGTTACCAGGATGCCGACTTAGCTTTTTCCTGTCAGATCTTACATTTTTGAAGGGATAACTGAAGGCTATAACTGTGTTTTGTGGGAAGCGTTGTTGTTGGTTTAGAGATGTGTCACATTTAAAGTGTAGACTAAAAAAACAAAAAAACTGTTAAAAAAATTTTATTTTGAATTTCAAAGATTAATACTTATCATTTCCAGTGTGAAAGTTCAGTTTTCAGCTTTTCAGAACAGCATAGTTAATTGCTGCGGAAGATCTAGACGAGGTAATCAAAATAATGTAAAAAACATTTCTCCTTGTAAAACCACTTTGTTTTGTTTTTCCTTTTTATTTACTTTAGGTATGTACTTGAAGAGTAACAGGCGTATATTGTATTGTATGTACTTGAAGAGTAACGGGTGTATATTGAATTAGCGCATGTACATATGTAACGCACAGTATATAAGTATGTAAGTATATATGTATGTTCTTGGTCAACATCAATTGCCGACTCGATAAAGCCACGGCTGTCTGTCCGTCCGTGTTGATGACCGCCTGGGTATCAGCTACTATAAAAGCTACAGCAACAAAATTTTGCCAGAAACTAACTACGCAGCTCTGTAGAAAATGGCCATTTTTTCCAGTTCTCCGAATATGGGTCAGATTGGAACATATTTTTTGTAAGTTTACAAGTTTAGCTGCATAAATTAGCTTTTCCGAATGGCAAAGTTCTTTACAGGATGGCAAACATATATAAAACATTTAAGTTATTTAAGAAAAAAAAAACAACTACCTCTACAAAAAAAACATACAAAAACGGTAAGCGACGTGTGAGACGCATCTTACGCGTCACAACTTTTATACCCGGTACTCAGTCAGTGTACCTGTACCAATTGTTTTATTTTCGAATTTTACATTTGAAAATTAACTGCAAATTAATTTCTTCATTGTGGCTATAATAATGATCCAATCGGATCCCATTTGGTGGTCTGTTAGATATGGCCATTCCCTATGGAATGGCGTTTTTAGATTTCTTTTATCTTCAAAATTGTAGATTTGGGAGTTTTTCGCCATTTTGAGGGGGCGGGGCTAATTTTTTAAATACACTGGTTTCAGTGTGAGCATACAGCAGTCTGGAGCCAAAATTTGGTGGCTCTACCTCTTATAGTCTCTGAGAACTCGCCGACAAAAAAGACGGATGGACGGACAGACGGACAGACAGACATGGCGCTATCGACTCGGCTATTGATGCTGATAAAGAATATATATACTTTATGGGGTCAACGCTTCCATCTGTACTCTTCGAGTACCGGGTATAACAAAGTTTGACAAATTGCTTAAAATCAATTTTTTTTTAGAACAGAAAAATATCATCTGTTTCTAAGCCTCAATCTTTCAGAAAAAGTTGGTTTGGTTCCTTGAGGGAAAATCGTGTCGGGTAGTTTTATTAGTTAAGCTTCAAATATCATAACAAAATAACTATTTCCAACCTTTTGAAAGATTTTGTCCAATATTTTGGTTTGAGTCTGTTCTAGTGATAGCTAAAGCTGACCTTATTTTCGGGAACTCAGTGAAGTCAGTACTGAAGTCTAATTTTCTACTTTTAAATTATTGTTATAAGTATTGATTAAAGGAAAAATATTTTTTTTTCAAATATTTTTATTTTTTTATTTATTTTATTTATATTTATTTTTAATATTTTTTATAATATTAGTTCGATTTGGATTAATTTTCGGACCGATGCAACCACGTCTTCCAACATTGAAAAAATGAATTAAATGTAAGTTTTTACTTTTTAATGTATGTAAAACCCTGGGAAGCTTTGCGAAGATTGTCTGTTTTGCCCATTGCTGGTATACAGTCGCTTTCAATTTAGCTAAGAAATATTTTCAAAATTTTCATAACAATTTGTTTTCTAACTATCAATTTTTTTTCAATTATATATTCTCTTCAGGTCGGAATGGATTTATTTCTTCAAAAAAGTTTGCCGTATGCTTTGACAAAAACCTTCTCAGTTGCAGCCGTCGATGCACTAGCCGTTCCGTCGCATTGGATTGGATGTTAAACATCCCATTCACCCTCTAGTTCTTCTATGGATACTGTACACTTCTATGGTGTAAACGAAAATACATTTGTTTTTATTTCAAAATGTACAGATGTATATCCTATTATGACGGTGAATTTTCCTACAAAGATAAATTTATGGATCGGTAATGATTGCAATCTGTTTGAAATATTTATGTTTGTTGGTTAAAAAATGATGTTGAAAGAGCGCAGTTTCGACATTATCAGTCGAATTCCATATAACTTTCCGTATGGATGCATTGATGTAATTCCTGTTGACCCTGTTTTTAATACGTAACTTTCTATTCTGGCCTGCTTCTTTGTGTTCATTTCATTCTGTGTGTAATTTTGTAGAGAATGTGCAACTAAAGTATTACTTCCGATTTCGTGTGACTCCTTCCAGCCATTATTATCCAGGCTTACCCTGCAATGAGGATTCAGGTA